TTTAAGAGACTGAGCTGAAAACAGCACCTCAGACTGAGGAAGTCTCTCGGATGAGAGACGAAACGTTTCTAGATTTTTTTGCTTTGTTTTGTTTTTGTTTTTTTTTGAATGTCCAGAGGACCAGATTGAACTTTTTTGTATTTTATACAGTATTAGATTTTAAACAATTGAAAGAACAGGAGTGCAGCTTTATTATTATTATTAATCATTATCAACTGTCAGAGTTTACAGTCTGTCCATCTGTCTGTCTCTTAGTCCATCTGTCTGTCTCTCTGTCTGTCTCTGTCTGTCTGTATGTCTGAGAACAGAATTATTCAAAATGTTATGAAGGGATTATCATGAAATTTTCAGGAAAGGAAAATTTCATGGGCAGTGGTGGTGCAGAGGTTAGAGAAGATGAGCCTGTGATCGGAAGGTTGCTGGTTCGACCTCCTGGACCGACAACATCAAAATGTGGGTGGGAAAGGTGAAACACCCGTACCATACCTGCCTCAACCCTCATCTGCCCCAGTCTGTGCCCTTGAACAAGGCAACTCCCACCATCTGCTCCCCTGGGTGCCCTTTTTTTTTCCTCGCTCGCTCTCGTGCAAGACGAATGCCTTTTCTTCCCTCTCCCGTCCTCCTCCTGCCTTTTTGCTCTCTGTCTTGTTTATCGGAGCTCTTATTTACACATCTTCCGACATGTCAAACTACTGGATCTGGTCAGCAGGACTTCCAACGCAATCAATAAAATGTTTTCAACAAAGCGACAGGGTTCTGGAGAACCCTCACGCCCTGCTGAGACGCACGCGGCAGGACACGTCATGGATCCGTGGGGAGTTTACAAACTGATGTGTCTTTCCGTATTGTGTCAGGAGGACGCCGAAGATGTTTATATAATTGGAATCGTGATAGCAGGGTTTCTGCTTTTTGCCACTGGTGGATACCTATGTTATCAGCTATTGAAGAAGACGGCGGCAGCTGTTTCGGCCATGGCAAAGCTGCCGACCTTGTGTGAAGTTTTGGTTTGTGCTTCAAGCACTCAAAATCAGCTGATTTACAAGCTAAACCATAAGCGATTTGTGAGAATCGCAGGCCACTTGCGGCTTCTGGAACTCGCCAGCATGTTGGAGACGACCTTAGGGGGGGGCTTATAAGCATGGACCAGTGGAATGCCCACAGATCTGGCCATTTTGGATCGAAAGTACCAGCAGGACTCAAGGCTGACGAGAAATAACAGTCTGCCTGAAAAAAATCAACAATTATGGCTTATCTGAATCTGACTCCTTCTTTTGGCCTCGAAGCAGGCCAACTTATCAAATTTCTTCTGGGATATGTGTAAACTAAGGAAAAGCTCTGTCTGTCACTATTGTTTCTGTATTTTTGTTGCATGCTTGGAGTAAATCCCAGTTTATGTTAGTTTTGGGGCTCCGAGCCCAACTCTGCTTAAAGAGTCTCTTTTTTTTCTGCATACCTTCTTAATTCGAAGGTTCAGCTGGTCTCTCAACAAAATTGATCAACTTCTCCTGACAGGAGTCAGGGTAAGGAGGACCCTCTTATCTCAACAGAAACGAATTGGATTCATGGTGAAAACTGTTTTTTTTTTTTTTTTGCTGTTTGGCTGGTGAATTCTGGATTGTCTATAAATTTGTGTGGATGTGTCGAAGCTCAACAGTGCTCAGACTGAATTATGTGCAGCTGCGTCAGAGAGCTGGAGCAGCTGTTGTCAGGACTGTGTTCTCCCTGGCAGCACTCATGAATGGTGGGAATAAATCTTGGAGAAGCTGTGAACTCGACTTTTGGCGTAAAGGATCAATTCGGCTGTTTGGAGTTTCCATCAGAGAATATGTACCAGCGAGACTTTAAAAGGCAGAAACAACAATTCATGAGTTCTGCCTGACCCAAACTGTGGCCTTCACATCGGACTTATCTCAACTCCTCCTGGAATCTTTTGAAAACAACAAAGATGCTTTGACTGTTTCCTCACCACTCCCTTCCCCAAGGCTGTGGACATGTGACAGAACCTCAACTGAGCTGAAGATGAATGCCACCTCTTATCTGGACAATGGCTGGGGGGGGGGGGGCGCTGGACTATGCTACGACTTTCCCTTAAAAATTGAATGTTTTCACCGCCTATATGTAAATGTATAACGTCTGTTTATGTTGCTTTGCTGTGGAAGGTTTTTTTGATGCCTCAAATCGTGCCCTGTCTAGGACACGGTGTGAGACATCTTTTTTTTATACGTCTCTCCTCATGTTTTCTTTCCTTTTCTCATCTTAGCAAAATATTATTCTGAATAAGAATAAGAGGGCCGTGCTTTTTTATAGTAGCAGCTTCGTGCACTCCGTCCATCTTTCGGACGACTGTACATACATGTTCTTGTTGTATCTCGGTGCAATGATAATAAAGTTTATTCTGATTCTATTCTGATTAAGTGTGTGCCGGTAAATGATAGCTGAGCAGAACCCATGAGAATCGTGCTGCTGTTGTTCGGTGTATTGTTTTGCACTATTAGTGACTAGTGTACATCTTAGATCCTTATTTACTGTTTCCTTTTACACTTTATATTTTGATATTGTTGGATGTAACTGGGATACTGTGTATATAATTTCATTCCACCTCATGTACCACATGTGATGTGAATGACCATAAAGAACCTTGAATCTTTGAACAAGATGATACTGTGTGAGAGACCCGAGGGTCTTGTGCTGTGTCTGAATGCTTCTAGTTTTGTCAGTGTTTATATGTTTTTAAAAATTTTAAGCTATTTGGTTGAGTTTCTACCTGCAACAAACACAAACATGATAATTTTTAAAAGGTTTGTATCTGTAGAAACAGTCTTCATAAGCTCCTCTTGGTATCTGTTTTTTGAGATTTAAAGTTCAAGTCAGTTTAAAGCTACGCTGCACATTCCTCTAGAGGCCCAACCATGAATCAAGGCAAGTTAAACTTTGGAATTCATATCTCCAGGGAATGTGTGGAGATTTGATTTTTTTTTTTTTTTTTTGCATTAAAAAAAACTTTACTATCATAATAGTATAAAATAGTCAGGTGTGGTATATAATATACCCATCCATCCATTATCTTTACCTGCTTATTCCATTTTGGGTCACGAGGGTCGCCTGTGCCCATGTCCAACAATCACTGTACGAGGGGCGGGGTACACCCTGAACAGGTCTCCAGTCCATCACAGGGACACATAGAGACAAATGAGACAAACAGCCATTCACTCTCTCACTCACACCTAGGGACAATTTAGAGTTACCAATCAGCCTAACATGCATGTTTTTGGTCTGTGGGAGGAAACCGGAGCACCCGGAGAAAACCCACGCATGCACGGAGAGAACATGCAAACTCCACCCAGAAAGGCCCCTGGACCGGGGTCTGCACAGCTGCAGAAAGAAAAGCTTTGCAGAGAGTGGTGAAGGCTGCACAGAAGTCTGTTGGAATCAGTCTCCCCACCATCACAGACATCTACACCTCCAGATGCAGGAAG